TGGTATATGAATTAAGAATTCCTAGGGCCTAGGAATTCTTAATTCATATACAGTATAAAATGTCTGTGGAGATTCTCAGTCATCCAGGTCATAGTTATCCCAAAGGTGCTATGTTCACGAGGCAAGTAGACTTCCTTGTATTTCTTTGAAGACGTTTCACTTCTCATCCAAGAAGTGGACTTCAACTCTCAGAATTCCTGAGCCAGCCACGCTGAGGGGAAAGGGAGAGGTTTCCAAGCTGAGCCATGCTGGCTCAGGAATTCTGGGAGTTGAAGTCCACGAGTCATAAAGCTGCCTAGACCTAGGCCAGAGGTAGGCCACCTTGGCTCTTTTAGGACTCGTGGACTTCAACTCCCAGAATTCCTGAGCCAGCCATGCTGAGGGGAAAGGGAGAGGTTTCCAAGCTGAGCCATGCTGGCTCAGGAATTCTGGGAGTTGAAGTCCACCAGTCATAAAAGAGCCAAGGTGGCCTACCCCTGGTTTAGCCACTGGCCTGGCCTAAATCTGAGCCCAAAGATGGCAGTGTTGCTAGATTCATGCAACATTATAACCCAGGGGAAACAAGCAAGGTTTGGAATCGTGGGTAGTTTATAAAGAACTGTTTATGTCTTGCACGCTGCATAAACTCATTCTGTTTTTATGCAAGGCTGAGTGTGATGTGTAAAGTCAGCCACAATTTCCAGATGATTCATGCAATAAAGCCAGGGCACCCCAATAAGAAACAAAGAGGGGCAGCAATCCCAATAAATGGAGTCCCCTCTACTAAATGTAAATCCTTCCTTCTGCTCATTTCCATGCAAGCCCAGCTCTGATTGTCCAGTCTTTTTTATCTTTTTCCAATGGCACATTTGGAGATGAAGCCATTTATAACTGCCTGTCCTCAAGAGAGTTTGTGGCTGTGTAATTGACAATAAACTCACTGCAAACCTGAGAATGCTGTTTTAATAACCTTATCCTAAGACACTTTCTACTGTATGCCTCAAAGGGTTTCAATAAAAAAAAATATCAACCCGTAGAGACATATTTTCTTGCTTAAACACCAACTCAATGCATATAACCAGAGTGCCAGTATAATGACATCTTTATGGGGCAATAAAACCTAAAAACAGCTTTCATCCTTCATTTAAAGGAACTCCGTAAGAAGCAGCGTTATATAAAATAATTTGATTTCTTTTCTTGAAGAAATAGGTAGACCACTGAATGAACACATGAATGAAGATATGCATTTCTCCCACGTTCAACGGGCTGGCTTATATCGCATAGCTGCTCAAAGTCTGTAAAATAAACAAACCCTCATTCAGCTATTCTGATTCATCAGATGTGGCTACGCAAGTCAACGTACGCTAAAAATATCATAATTCTGAAGGAGGGGGAAGAGGCGGTAGAGGAGGATCAAGGAATATAAAACGACCAGAGGCCCTGCAAATAAACGATTTAATCACATGAATTTGTCTTGAAAAACAGGTTTACATGCTTAATGTGAATAACACATTCCACAACCAGTTCTATTATTACCTAAACAGTAAGGCTGAACGTCTGTTATTTTGACAAATATCTAAAAGAAACAGTATTCCTGATATAAATCAAGTGATGGATGCAACTTGGACTTGGGACTAGGAGCACCTTGGAGTTGGGACTTTCCTCCTGGAGAGGAACGGAGACTCATGGCCCTCAACCGTTCTGGGCTCTTCTTCTTCTGAGCTCCTCTGAGGACCTGCTCCTCAGTGGCCCATCAGTTTTAACCAGTGGGCAGATCCTCAAGAATAACATTAGGATTCCCAAGGACTTGACTGATTTTATCACATCATTTGCGTCATTTGTCCTTCGCACCCAACCATCTCAATAGAGCAGTCACCTTCAGCTGCCTTTGGAGCGTTGGGGTTGACTTCTGTAATGTTACTTCTGTAAAATCTTTCTCAGCTGAACTGAACCTGGTAGAACCAGATCGAGGTCCATTCCCTGGAACCGAACCAGAAGTCGACCCATCCAGTTCCTATCTCTTTCCAGGGCCAGCTCAATTTCCTGATCCCAGCATCCTTCAAAAGACACTGTTTTCCTTGGCCAGGATGAGTCCCGCACGAGTTGCACAGCCAGACCAGCAACAGAGGGAGATGTGAAGGACTTCATTGTTTTCTCTAGTGGTTTGTTACAAGGAGCATTTTTATAGCCCGGCCTCCAGCAGAGCTGATCTATTTAGTCGGCTTCATGTTGTCAAATATTCTGGAAAGGATAGTTTTATTATGGGGATTCTGGAGAAAGCTTTTATCCCTGTCATTTTGGCCTCAGACACTATTGCTGGCTCGCACACTACATTATACCCTAATCCTGGGATAACAAAACAAAGTTGTTTCCTAGGCCAACGCACAAAATTGACACGCTGACCCACAAACTTCCCAATCCCAAACAAGCAAGAGTTACACTCGCATCACGTGACACAACGAGATGTGTACCGAATCATTCACAGTCATCCTGGGCTTAGCAACAACTACAAGCTACACATCTGGCCCGCTGACCCGCCTGCACAAGGCGAGCCAAGTTGGACTCTGCTTTTGCATGCTGGCATTGTGTCAACTTGGATTCCTCCTCAAAGACTACTGGTCTGTTTTACCAAGGAAAAAATGAGGATTACATGAGTCTCTGACAAATAATGGTTGTGAAAAAAATCCGAATAAACCATCTCTGCTAATGTAGTCTAACATTTTATCCGCAATCAGGTCAGAAACTTTTTAAATGCTCTAGTGTTACTAGTTACCAAACTATCATCAGGACCTTTTAAAAAGATAATATCCAAACCATACTTGTAAATCAAAGAAAATGGTTTGTTTGTTTGTTTGTTTGTTTGTTTTAAAAAAAAGATAAATGGGATAAAAAAGTTAAAATGTCTGCCCTGCCACACATCAGAAATCTTCCCCAATCTTCCACCAACTTCGGAACCCCATCTTCTGATTGAAATAAAAACCCAACTTTGCCAGGCAGAGGGGCTTTCCCAGAAGGAAAAAGTCTACTTCTGTTGACTTAAGGGACATAATATACTTCCAGAAAGTAAGGAGGTAATAGTAATAATAATAATAAAGTTGGAAGGGACCTTGGAGGTCATCTAGTCCAACCCCCTGCTCAGGCAGGAAACCCTATACCATTTCGAACAAATGGCTGTCCAGTCTCTTCTTAAAAACTTCCAGTGTTGGAGCATTCACCGCTTCTGGAGGCAGGTTGTTCCACTGGTTAATTGTTCTAACTGTCAAGAAGTTTCTCCTTAGTTCTAAGTTGCTTCTTTCCTTGATGAGTTTCCATCCGTTGCTTCTCGTCCTGCCTTCAGGCGCCTTGGAGAATAGCTTGACTCCCTCTTCTTTGTGGCAGCCCCTGAGATATTGGAACACTGCTATCATGTTCCCCCTCGTCCTTCTCTTTGTTAAACTAGACATACCCAATTCCAGCAACCGTTCCTCATATGTTTTAGCCTCCAGACCTCTAATCATCTTTGTTGCTCTTCTCTGTACTCTTTCTAGAGTCTCAAAATCTTTTTTACATCATGGTGACCACAACTGGATGCAGTTTTCCAAGGTCAACTTTTCCCCCCTGAAGCTTTGAATGAAGAAACCATGATAAGCCAAGGCCACCAGCCCTGGGTCAGAACTTTCATAGAGCTTCTCCATGGAGCTTGGAAACTTGCAGAGTTCCCGTCATTTTGGGGTTTCGCATCCCAGAACAGAGCATAAAATTACATTTCCTGAAAGGAAGACATGTCTGTGGCTCTATTGGAAAAACTTCAACTTATACAATCTGGCAGGATACAGGATTTTTTTTTTTCTTACGTGGCCCTGCCAGACAACATGATTTCCTTAATGATTGAATCAAAACCCTTTGGATTATGTATTGATTGTGTCACTTGAATTCTTGGGCAAAATATACGAAGAGGAGATTTCTGTAAAGAAGTCTCTGAAGATTTGTTTTAATTATTTTGATTTCTGGGTATAAACTTGCTAGTTTCTGTTTAGGCACATGCTACCGGAGGATTACAAAACAGAAGGCTATCTTTAAAAAGGCTTCTGAGAAGCCCAACAGCTAGAAAAATACTGTAACTAAAACATGGAAAGCATTAACAGGACAGCTGGGGATGTGATCGCTGTAACCTTCTAATGAACACGAAGGTGGACAATGTTTAACATCCAGGCCTCTAAGAGTGTTTTGATCGGAGTGAGACTCGCCAGCTTAGATGGTGGCAGGATTGGTGCAGATGCCAAAGAGGGAGAGAGGCTGAGCCAGCCTCATGTCTTCCAAATCCAGAAAGGGAATCTTTCATGGGTTCAGCCAATGGGAAATAAAATGACCAAAAAGCAAGCAACCATATTAAGCTTCAGATTTTACAAAGACAGAAGCAAAACGCTTAGTCCATCGGAAAGCTCCACTGAAATGTGTAAGAGGGCCCAATGAAAGACACCACACAAGAAAAAAAAACCCTCTCTTGACCGCCTTACACAAGACCTATAGGGAGGGCAGCAGAGATCCCTACAATGACCTAGGTCAGGGGTAGGCAACCTTGGCTCTTTTATGTGTCGTGGACTTCAACTCCCAGAATTCCTGAGCCAGCATGGCTCAGCTTGGGAAACACTCCCTTTCCCCTCAGCATGGCTGGCTCAGGAATTCTGGGAGTTGAAGTCCACGAGTCATAAAAGAGCCAAGGTTGCCTATTCCTGGCCTAGGCAGTGGCCCTCCTTCTAAATTCTGGCAGTTCGCATTGACTCTTATGCATTTATTCTACTCAAACATCATTCACACATTATCCTTGCCCTCCGGAGAACTTTCAATATGCTTCATCTACTGTAAGCCCAACAGACACTTGAATGTTCCTTCATTTTACAATCACCTTAGAAATCCTTACCAGATTCCCTGAGTCTCTGCCACCACATCCGTTCTCCCTTCAGTCAAGGAAAGCCCAAGAAAATGGATTCCCCTCGGTAATCACAGAAGCCATCTTACACAAGAACCAAAGGAGCACTCACCCAAGTCGGCTTTTTCCTTCAAAATATCCTTGAAATTGAGGCCACTGTTGTGTGTGGATTGCCGGAACCTGCTTAGGGCTTCCCTCTGGCCATCTTTGCTCAGTTCTGGAGGTGTGAAGGCTTCATCCCGGACGCCCCGTTTCCACTTGGAGATATCTGTCCGGGCCCATTGGGCCAAGTCCTCGAGCTTCACGGTTACTTTTTCTGAAGCAGCAATGACTTCATCCTGGAAGAACCAAAGGGGAAAAGGTCATGTTGGCTCCTGACTTGTATCTGTCACCAAATTACAACAGGCTTTTCTCGCCAAAGGATGCGGAGAAGATCTTCTCCCAGACCAGCACCGCCTTAAAAGCAGCCTGAGGGTTCTGGGCCAGCCTGGAAGACAGATGCCCCTCTTTATAGAGCAGACATGTCAAACACAAGGCCCGGGGGCCGGATGCGGCCCGCGAAGTGGTTTCATGTGGCCCGTGAAGCCATCCTGGAAACAGTGAGGGAACGGCCCCCCGCTGCCTTGGCCCAGGCCAGCCAGGAGCCAATGTACAATTTTGTGGTGGCCATCTTGGCACTTGCCCCAGTGGACCATGCCTTGGCACTTGCCCCAGTCCCACCCCCTTCTGCCAGAGACCCTCAGATCTGTCCCACTCCTGCCCAGACCCCCACAGGCACCCTTGACGCGAACGATGTAGAGTTGGCCATGCCCACCCAGTAGGCCACACCCACTCCATCCACGCCCACCCAGTAGGCTGCACCCACCCGGCCCCCCGAGGGCAACCGCAATGCTGATGCAGCCCTCAGTGAAATTGAGTTTGACACCCCTGTTATAGAGGCTCCACAGCCTTTGAGGAGGGGCTTCTTTCCTTTCAGTTGCTAAAAGGAGGAGCAGCAGGGACATGGGTTGAGGTGGCTCCCTTTTTGTGACTCTCCTCTGGCGGTTCTCCCCCCATGCAGCCATCCCAGGTGGCAGGCAGCACGACTCTGTCTCCCGTAATTTCCATCCACCCAAAGTCAAGGTCTTCTCCAAGGCGCCTGAAGGCAGGACAAGAAGCAACGGATGGAAACTAACCAAGGAGAGAAGCAACCTAGAACTAAGGAGAAACTTTCTGACAGTGAGAACAATTAACCAGTGGAACAACCTGCCTCCAGAAGCGGTGAATGCTCCAACACTGGGAAGTTTTTAAGAAGAAACTGGACAGCCATTTTTCCGAAATGGTATAGGGCTTCCTGCCGGAGCAGGGGGTTGGACTCGATGACCTCCAAGGTCCCTTCCATCATCATCATCATCATCATCATCATCATCATCATCATCATCATCATCATCATCATCATCATCATCACTATTACTATTACTATTATTATATTAAAACATTGCGTCCTCCCACTCTTTTCCCTTTTCCCTAACCCTTCCCATTTTTAAAAAATCCTACTTTCATTAAAAGCAATTCCAAAGCAGGGCAATATTGGCTGTTCAAATGTTGGAATGTTGGTTCTGAAATTTTAAGAAGGAGCCTTGTGGCAGCAGATCCAAACGCGTCGATCTTTTGCTCTCCTCCGCCAATACCCATGGAACTCACTTCCCGGAGAACAAATCAGGACATCTTTTGAGTTTTGAGCAGGAGCCGTTTCTGGGTCTCCAGCCAGGACTCAGGGCAGGCTGCTCTTGTTTTTGGGAGGCTACTCTCCCTCCCCCCAGGGCATCAGCACAAGAGGGAGCCAAAACCCTATGGAAAGAAAGCCTATGGCTGCAGCACTTCCCAATTAAACCATTGCAGTAGAAGTTAAAATACACTAAGCAGGCTGCAAGGCGATCAAACCGGTCAGTCCTAGAGGAGGTCAACCCTGACTGCTCTTTAGAAGGCCAGATCCTGAAGTTGAAACTCAAGTACTTTGGCCGCCTAATGAGAAGGAAGGACTCACTGGAGAAGAAGAGCCTGATGCCGGGAAAGATTGAGGGCAAGAGAAGAAGGGGACGACAGAGAATGAGGTGGCTGGATGGAGCCACTGAAGCAGGAGGCGTGAGCTTAAATGGACTCCAGAAGATGGTAGAGGACAGGAAGGCCTGGAGGAACGTTGTCCATGGGGTTGCGATGGGTGGGACACGACTTCGCAACTAACAACAAAGAAATAAACAGTCTCTCAGATTGATAGCTGGCTTGCGGATCTACAGGCACAAGTTCTCGTTATTTGTGCTTGGATAAGGAAGAATACTTGAAACTCAAGTACTTTAGTCACCTAATGAGAAGGAAGGACTTCCTGGAGAAGAGCCTAATGCTGGGAAAGATGGAGGGCAAGAGAAGAAGGGGACGACAGAGAATGAGGGGGCTGGATGGAGTCACTGAAGCAGGAGGCGTGAGCTTAAAGGGACTCCAGAAGATGGCAGAGGACAGGAAGGCCTGGAGGAACGTTGTCCATGGGGTCGCGATGGGTCGGACACGACTTCGCAACTAACAACAACAAAGCAGGCTCAGACCTGGTTAGGTTTTTGAGTGGGAGATCAACAGAAAAGGCCAGGATTTTCAGTAGGTTACACTGAGAAGTCTATATCTCATCCCCAAAGAAGGCAACCCCACAAGTCTCCAGGAATTGAGCTTGACTTGAAGGAATCTTTGCCTTTATAGCCTTCACAGAAATAAATAACCCATGGAGATTTCACGTGAGCAGATGCCCTTTGGGGGCAGCGTAAAGGGACTTCCTTGATTAGGCTAGTCTTTCTTATTCACATCATATTGCACACGCTATGATTGTTAATGTCATTTCAATCGACTTTTTATACGCATTTCAAGAATACCAGCTGAAAAAGAATTTTACTTCTAAATAATTAGAAACCAGAGATGTGTGTGTATGTGTTCCATCCTCCGTATTGCCAGAGATTAAGCAAGGGCCCC